AGGGGTTTCGACGAGGAGTTAGCCCTTTCCCGGATTATGTCGACCGCCCTTTCCGTATATATGTCGGTCGCATACCGGCCCTCATATTCAGTAGTGTTTGCGGGGAGTTCTCCGTTACGGAAGTCCATTGCCCACCAGTTTTCAGCCGAAGTCCGGTCGTAGTAGTCTGACTGACCCGTCCAGTCCCCGAAGTGCGAGTCAAACCCGCGGCGGGTCGGGAGGTATTCCCGGCGATGAAAGCCCTGATGCCATTTGCCCACAGCGTGCGTCTCATAGCCTAACTCTTTAAGATATTGTGGTAATAGTTTGTATTGTAGTGGTGTCCCGAATGGTTGGGCACCCTAGCATGTCAAATAACTGTATAATTTTATATGTTAATTAATTTTACATAATTGATTAATAACACAATTTTAAAATTGTTAAATTACTCTTAAATTAAAAAAGCCGGTCACTACCAGGGTATGTCAAACCCTACCAGGTCACCCTTACCTGGAAACCATCGTGTTTAGTGCCAGTGTGTATGGGATGGTAGCCGGTTAAGATGGCACTCCTAGAGGGCGAACATAGCGGTGATGTGTAGTAATTGTTCAAAATGATCCCGGTGCTGGCTAATAGATCAATATTAGGCGTTTGGGCTTGTTGTGAGCCGTGAAAGCTGACGTCTCCCCAACCTATTACCAAAATATGCTAGTTAATTAATTTATTAATTTAACAAATTTTGTGTATATTATCTAGATCATCAGCGATTATGAAAACAATGTTAGGTCTCTCACTACATATTTATTAATTATATCACACACAATAATTATAGCTAAAACTGTAAATGTTTATATTAAATGCTTTATGATAGTTATTTACTGTATGTAAATAATTATTTACTAAATGGACTTGTTATGCCAGTCTCAGCAATATTCATTTAAATTAATATAATATCTATATCTTTTAAAAATTATTTTTATCACCTATTTATTACAGTATAGTTAATATTACAAACCTCTTAAGGGCCAGTTAGATCCAACGCTATAATCAATACTGGACCCTGGTGCAGTACCCCTTGTCGACCCTCCATTATCAGTGGTAAACACAACGATTGTATTATTCAAAATATCTGCCATTTTAAGGGCTGCCATGACTTCGCCCACGGAATCGTCCAGAGCTGATACCATACCCACAAACGTGCGCCTATCGAGATCCTGGACATCCCGGTGCCTATTAATCAGATCTTGAGGGACTTGAAGTGGTTGACGACGACTAGCGGAGTGAACCGATTGGTGCGATAAATACAGGAACAGGGGTTTCGACGAGGAGTTAGCCCTTTCCCGGATTATGTCGACCGCCCTTTCCGTATATATGTCGGT